GCTGTGATTTCTGCCCCCAAACCCTCGAAAGAACACAGCTTTTCTTTCAATATAGGTGATTGTTTGGATCCTGTTCGGTGGTTCTCTTTTCTTCTAACTGCCACAGCAGGTCGGCTTTGGCCGGCTCCAAGGCCCAGAAGCAACATCATCAAGCAGACGACATCATTATCGTGCAACATTATCAAAAAAGAAAGAAAGAAAAAAAAAAACGCCAAACGCGAGGCAAGAAATTGCTTGTCTTTGGCCAATTTTTTTCGTACTTTTCGTAGGCGGCCAAAAAGTGGAAGCCACAAAAAGGGGCAGCCAGCGAAAAAGAGGGAAAAAAAACCCCTGTGACCGGACCAATATATTGAAATATGGCGGTAAGCGGGCAATTTAAATGTGGCCCCCGCAACATCTCCACCCGCTGCTGCACGGAATGTGGTTTTAAGTAATTCATGGATTAATGGTAGCATATTGGTCTTGTGGCATGGTTGAGGGTGAGGAGGAGTAGGCGGAGGAGGAGAAGTTGGTTGCCACTGCCGCTGTCTCTTGAGTGAATGGTCGTGTCTGAGGCCGAGACTAAAACTGCTGTCTGTCTTTCTGTCTGCGGGGCCTTGGCCGTGGTAAGAGTAGGAGTTGCATGTTTAGCACGTGCCTTCGGTTCCTCTTGTTGCACACTCAAATGTTGCTGCTGCTCGTGTGCGGTAGTTGCTGCCGTTACTGTTGCTGTTGCCGTGGCTGTTGCTGTTGCTGTTGCCGTTGTTGATAATGCGTTGACCGCCAACGCCGCAAACTAGATTGTTACGTTTATAATCATTAGGCAAGTTGGTGATTTGTTTTCCTTTTCCTACATTTTTTTCTGGCATTGATTCTTTGGGCTATGAAAGTTGTTGGTTGTTGCCACAAAAGCACCGTTAATATGAGGTTGCCAGGTTTTAGTACGAAAGTGGAAATGAACTGCAGGCTTCCTTTTGGTAGCTAAAAGGTTTTGAAATCTGTTAAGCGGCTGCTCTAGTTTTGAATTTCAAGTTTAGTTTATCGAAATAAGCTAAGAAAACTTTTTGACTTACTTTAAAATCCCATCAAATATAGCTTAAACTCAACTTTACCAATTAAAACTCAATCAAACCCCTTTTAGTTACGTCACAACTCGCTGAGCTCTTCAATTGGAATTTTCTTTCACATCTCTGTCATTCGGCTTAACCGAAAATTAATTTAAATTTTTGTTTTTGGCTCATAACGCCTCGTCATATTTCCTGTAGAAAGAAGAAAAAAAACCCAACTCACCGGCCACATAACAAACAACACTTTTCGCCGTCACACTTGCACACTCACACACTCAACGAGAAACCAACAAATTGCATTTTAATGCAACTTTCCAAATCAATTTTCAAAACCAAACAGAGATCGAGGTGCATTTCCCTTTTGGTAAAGTCGAGGCGCAAATAGATAGAGATATGGCCAGAGGGATATGGCGGGGACTTGGGTCGGAGTTAGCCACAAGAGTGCCTGGCCAAAAGGCCAATATAAAAATAAATAAAACTTAAGTCAGCCATGTGACAGTTATGGATGAGAAGGCTGCACTCCAACCGGGCAGCGGAGGCAGTGGAGGCAGCAGAGTCAGCCCCGATTCCAAAGTCGAGATCCGGACTTGGAGTCCCGTGGCCTGAGCCAAAGTAACGAGTTGACTAAGCGATAAAAAATCTAACTTTAATACGAATTAAGATAAACAAATAATGAGAAGGGGAGGGTAGTGGCAAATGGGAGCGGGCTTTGTATCTATCTAATCGAATGATGTTTGCTGTTGGCAATGGAGACCTCCAGGCCCAAGCTCAAGTGACAAGTGCGAGCCTAGCTGGGGCTTTTGACATTTGCTGAATATGAGACTGCGACTGCGACTGCAACTGCGACGAAGATGATGATGATGATGACTACGTGGATTTGCAGTCGTTGTTTATGTTTACTCGAACGATGAAACCTTATGCCTAATAATAGGGTCGACTTTGAAATGCATACGAAACGGGCAGTGAGAGAGATACTGGGTACTGGGTACTGGAGACATAGTTCGCCTCGTTGCTTTGTCGGGGGCGTTAGCCACGGTGCAAAATGTAGAGCTGGGGAGTTGATCTCCATGTTGCCGATGCTTGACATTTATGTGAACCCAGGTAACAATAACACGTTAGTGTACCACCACCGACAGAACGACACGAAACCAAAAACAGAATACAAGCCGAAACCAAACCAGAGCCCAGAGCCGGAGATCCAAGAGATCCCCAGCGAGATCGTCGTGGGCAAGCAGGCAAAGTCAACTCGTTCGAGTCATGAATCTTATGACGCCTACGTGTACTTTTGGCATTTGGCATGTCAAATACAATAAGTACTATGGGGAGCCCCAGTGCCAGAGATCACTGGCTGCGAGTACACCCATTGGGCCCAAGATGGAGCTGGAGCTGGCTAGCGGAGCCTGCGATGGGTTCAAGACTCTCGGAACTGCGTTGGCCGTCGCCGCTGCTGCTGCCGCTGCGTTGACTTCTTTCTGACAGCTTCGGTCTTTCGGGTCCGAACTCGTTTTGGGCCAAGAGGAACATTCCTGGTCTGTCATTAACCGACAGAAACTAATTCGCTCCAAATAAGTTCAAGGCGGAATGCTGATAGATTGACAAGGCAAATGGGTTCTCAGATGTTTGGCCGAGCACCTCTTCTGCCACAATTTGCGAATTCGTTATCTTGAATTTCCTCAGAAATCAGATGGAGATGTGGGTAATGGCTTGATTTTGAACTTTTGATATTCTCAAGGGGTTAACATTGTATACTTATTTGAGGTCTGGTTTATTAATGACAGGTTGACATTTATGTTGGCAGAAATATTCTAAGGAAATAAATGTTAAGCAAAAACCCAAACAATCTGATCCTCAGAGAAGGCTGAAAGGTGCAATAAATAACCATTAGAGATTACTTTGAGCCCAACAGACTCACAATTACAATCCCATGACTTCCAATCTCCATCGTTGATCTGATCATCTTCTATCTATCAAATTTCTAAACTCCACCTCTGGCATTCCAGAGAACCAACCTACACCTGCTACCTTAGTGCACTTAATCAGCTAAAAGGGCGGGTCTGGAGCGGCTCCAAGAGAGCGGCTCCCTCCCGTAGCTCGTGTCGCTGATCACGCATAGAAATTATTATTGTACTTTAATATAGCCATAAATCTGAACATTTAAAATGCAGAAAATATCGCATCCTGCTGCGTTTGCCAAACCAGAATGCCGAGGATCGTAGCCAACTTATGACTTCATCTGCATTTTTATGGCGAATGCCCTGGCGATAATAAACCCTGGCAGGGATCGAGCCACCCATGCGTGCTCCTAGATGAAAGGGGGTGCCAGCCAAGGGAGAAGGAGAAGCAGTCTCACTGTGGCAATATCAATAACACTTGCAACTCTGTCCGTCGCCGTACGACTGCAACATGATGCGACAACGTTGTTGTCGTCGTCGGACAATGTCACTGAACCAGTTCTCAATGTCTTCATATAGATTTCCACGGCCTGCTAGAGTCAACCTCTGCACTAAATATTTACAACCTCCACAATATCTCAACGACCGACAACGACGACGACGACAAAAAAAAACAGACTAAAAAACGAGGAAAAAACAGTAACAGAAACGAGGCTGGCTGGTCTTTTCTATCGCCTGGCCTGGCCTGGCCTGGCGGAACAAGTTCATGCAACTGCAGCAGCAGCAGCAGCCGCAGCACCACAAAAGGTGTTCAGGCGACCAAGACCGAGCCCAAGACCAACCAACATCCAACTAACAGCGACCAGCGACCAGCGGCCAGTGTCGTTGTGGCCATAAATTCAATTGAATATTACGCCAATTGCCTTTTTGTCTATCGCGAACCTCGTCGGGGAGGAGTCAACATGGTCGGCCTCCAAACTGGTTCCATCATCATCAGTTCGCTAGATTTGTTTTTATTTTTATTTTTATATAGTTTTTTTTTTTTAAGCAGATTTAGTTCATCTTTGAATGTACGCTAAGCCGCTTTCGGCGTGCTAATTAGACGACTTTCAAGGCCCCATCTGCGCTGGCTAATATGCATCAAAATGTGTCAACACCCAGAGCTCGGGGTCCTGCCATTCCGTCCGGCTTAATTGTTAGCTCTTCGCGTAGATGGCTCACCTCGATTGAAGCGAACCTAGGCCATGTTTTCACTCCATTAACGCGTTGCGAAGTTCGGAGGCTGGCGGTGTGCAGATCCTGAACTGGGTCTGGTAATGATGCCTGACGTTGACCGATCGTCGACCGCAAAAGCCAACCATCCAGCCAGCTAGTCAAAGCCAAAAGCCAGGGGAAAAGCCAGATCGAGAGCAAGAGCCCGGCCAGGCTGACTGACCGATCAAAAGTCGTTCAACTTGCCGGAACTGGTCGTAAAGATCACCTGGCCACCATTCCAAGCCAGGCCGGGAGCTGCCTATGTGGAGCATTTTCCTCTCGAACTTGGCTAACGCTACTCGTACCTCTGGACCTCTGGAGTTTAACTCAAGACTGAATATCGCGTGGCACAATATTAATGGCCGCCAGAGAGTTCAGGCCAGCGATGGTGAGTTCAAATCCCAAAACATAGTTAATCTTGGCTGTCCAACATTTCGTTTGGTTTTCGGCGGGAAATCCTGAAGCTCTTCAAAGAATCTGCAGAAATAAACGATCTGCGAACTGCTACAGGGTAAATGAACTTTGACTCCTGCGATGGGGTTTAAGGAATGCCAGGGATTCCTGAGGTTAGGGTATATAATGATCGATTAATAACTTGAGAGTAATAAAAGAAGTCATAGGTACACTAAAATTCGTAGATTACGGCTAGTCAAATGTACTTTCTAAGGTCTTATATATTTGGCCCTGCCAGCTGGGCCATAAAACTCAATTAGCTGCTGCCAAAAGGCTCCTTTCTCCGGCAAATCTCTTGGCCTAATCAACTACAAATGGGCTAAAAGGGAGAGAATGTTATGTTTGGTTGGCCTACCTGAACGTATTCGGCGCATATATCAATTCCGCCTACGAAGCCGCACACATCGTCCACCGACCAGGAGTTAACCTCTTCGCTCTGCGCCTGACAGCGTCTTCTGGCCTTGGCAGCTCCTGTTCCGGCTCCTGATCCCGTTGGCGAACCCGAATTTTCTCCTGTTCCTGCACCCGCGTTACCAGAATTGATATCGTCGTGCTGTTCCAACGGTGGCGGGGATGGTGTGGATGTGGATGAGCCTGTGGTCGCTGTTGTTGCCGTTGTAGCCGTGGAGCTGGCACGACGCTCGGCCTTAAAACGCTTGGAGGCCGGCGGCTGGGAGCTCAAATCCAATGGCGCCGCCGACGCAATTGAGGAGCCACCGATGGGCGCCACTGTCGAAGAATCGTTGGTGGAACGTGGACTAGACTGCCGCGAAGCGTGATGCGATTGCTGTTGCTGCTGCTGCTGGCGTTGATGTTGCTGCTGCTGCTGTTGCAGCTGGGCCGAGTAGATCAGCGCGGGTGTAACAAATTGGGCAGCCTGATGCAGTGCGGCATTCAGAGTGGAACTGGAACGTGGCGTGCCCGCCGCACTCGCACTCGGCGACGAGGCATTCGACCCGGATCGCTGCTGTTTGCTGCGCAGAATTTCCTGGATTTCAACATCTTTAACAGCACGCGCCTGGAGAAGGAACAAGGAAAGAGAAGGGGTTAAGTTTCCTACACCTACTAGCCCAATTAAGTTAGAAACTCTCACTAATGGCCAACCATTATGGGTGGTCTTCTATCTGTTACTATTTTATAGAACTCACCAGCGTCAGCAGCGCTTGGGTGCTACTCATGTCTATCAGCGGCGGGAAAATGCCAGACGGGGGCACGAAGGGCAGAAAGTTGCTCATAAATGGCGAGACAGTCGCTGCTGCCACCACGGCGGCCATTTGGTTCTTGGCCTGTTCCGTAGGCGATGGGGCAGCAGGTGGTGGGGCTAGCTGCGACATAGACGAACCAGAAGCTGCTGCTGCCCCACCAACACCCACACCTGACACACCACCACCACCACCGGCCACACTAACTTTTGCCTCCTTGGGCAGACTGCTGATGGCAGCAGCATTTGCAGCTGATGTGGCCGATGGTGAGAGCTTCTTGGCAGTGTTGATTGTGTTGCAACTGTTGTTGTTGTTGTTGTTATTGCTGCTGCTGCTGCTGGTGCTGCTGGTGCTGCTGGCCGACTTGAGGGCGGTGCTTGGGGCAGAGGTGGCTGCTCCTACTGATCCTCCTCCTGCACTAGCCGCTGTCGCTGAAGTGCTAGCACTATTGTTGCCGCCGTCGAAGTAGGAATTGCGTCGCGTTGCATTGTTGCTGCAGAAAGAGAAAATGTTTTCAAGATTTGTTAATAACTTAAAAAATATTTAACTACATTTTTCTCTCTCTGTAAAGCTAAACGCTTAAGTTATTTTAAGGCCATCCAAAAACTTACTCATTGGGATTTGTGTTGTTGTACTTGGCTGCCAGGCATCGCATAAAGTCCGAATAGTTGCGGGAGGAGAAATCCGTGGCATTCGTTGTGGCAGCACCCTCTGTTTTGGCTGTGTTGCTGCTGCTGCTGTTGCTGTTGCTGCTGCGATGTTGCTGAATGCTATTTAGCAAATTCGTAGACAAATTGTGCAGCGGCATGTGTGTTGCGCCTGTTGCTGTTGTTGCTGCTGCCGTTAATGGGCCACTGGGCGGACTGAGGCGTTGTTGCTGCTGCTGCTGTTGTTGTTGCTGCTGCTGACTGGGGGAGACACCACCGCCGCCGGAACCGCGAAATGATGACGAGGAGGGCGTGGCGCTGCGAGATCTTCGAGAAGAGAAGCCAAAAAAAAGAAGAACATATGGATTAGTTATGTTAAAGACAACATTTAGCAGGTTTTGCATAAGTGGGAAACTATGACATCAGCGTGATATATTTACGGCATTCAAGTCGATCATTTCTCATAAATTTGCATTAATATTTAATTATCTGGAGATCTCATTCAGAGAGTCTCAAAAAGGTGTCGCATACAATTGGCTTATTTGTCATTCGGCCAGCATCTGAGCCAAGATCTCTTGGCTTATTTGACATGCTAATGAGTGGCTTCCGTGAGATCGGCTCTCCTTAAAAAGCTCTTTAAGCAGGTGTGACTACGATCAACGACTGGCTAGAGGAGGTTTGATAGTTAGTTAGTTTCAAAGGAGAAGTGGAAAGGCATTGGTCATAATGCGATTACAAATGTGATGTGACATGGGAACTGTTAGGCCAGGAGATTCTCTCCAGAAGGAGACCAGCAACTGCTATCCAAGTGAAAAAGCCTGGGAGAGTTCATTAGAAATTTCAAATTAAAACCGGCATACAGGTGGTATGTAATGTGATGTCACTTTAACTATCATTTGTAAGAAGTTAAGAAAGAAAGTTGTTTTCCAGATATAGAAAGTCCATGTTCCTGCTTCCCAACCCATTATTCTTTTGATAATTTTCAATCTTGTTCCGACGATCGCAGAACATTTCTCAAACAATTTCATTTTGGATGCTCTTTCTTCGATCGAAACGAAACAATTCATGTTAACCAATGTTGAGCATTTGTGGACTACAATCTGGCTGGCATGGCCATAACTCATATGCAACCAACGCCGGAGACATGCCACCAACATGGCGCATTCGTTGGCTCACTCGATATCCAGCCATTAGCCATTCCCAGAGCCTAGCCAACACGAGCCAAACGAAGGCTGCCAGGCAAGGCAAGGCTTGGTCGAAAAGGAAAATAATCAGCATAGATTTCTGGCCAGATCGGCAGTGGCAGCGGTCACCTCCTAAAGCCAAGCCATGCCGCAGCCAGTGGCAGCTGCAAGTGCCTGACTCTATTGCAGCTTTGTGTTGCATGCCAACTGAAATGTCAGTTTAGCTTTTCTATTTCAGAAATTTGGCTAATTTTTAAAGTTTATTCATTGATATATTTTTAGTGTTTATTTTAAAATAAAAATAATTTAGTTTCTTTTTAAAGATTTTGATAAAGAAAACTTTTGAGTTAAAGTATTTTGTAGAAATATCCCTTTCTTTTTTATATTTAACTTATATTTCTTAAAAAACAGGTCAGCACTGGTTGCATGCCACATGGCTAGGTGGTTGTGGCATGGCGGAGCCAGAAAAGAGTAACTCGTGCTGCACGTCGTCGTCGTAGACGCTGGTCGTTGGTCATGTCGTGTCGCTCTTTCGGAGGCTGCTGCACAAATTTATATATAGCAGCTTGCCGCCCAGCCTTCATACCGCTCCTCCTCCTCCTGCTCTAGCTTCTGCTCCTTTTTCTTTACCGCCCCCTGCCCGTTGTTGTTGCCATTGATTTATCGTGATCTGTTAGTTGTCGATTTTTTGTTGTTATTTTGTTCGCTTTGCCGGCTGGTTGTTGCCTCTGCTGCTTACAACTCTGTTGTTCTTTTTTGCCTCATTTTTTTGTTGTTTCTTTTTTTTTAGTAATTTTTTTTCGGTTTTGTTAAAAATGTTGATTATTGCAAATTGCTTTGGCGATTGGTAGCAGCTACTTAGTTGTGTTTTGTTGCTTGTTCTTGGCAATTGTTTGAACAGCAACCAGATCAAAAAATGGCTAAGAAAAAAAATGGTTTATGGTGGCGATTATGTTGGCTACTGCCCTGCCCTGCCGATCCCCCAAAGACTTTCCGACTTCCCAACTCTACCTAATCTCGATGTGTGTGTGTGTGTGTCTAACGGTTTGGCTGCTGCTGCTGCTCTGGTTGGCTTAGATCTTGAGATCAGTGGCATGCCTAATTGGTTTTTATTATACAACATGGGCAACATGTGCCCGCCCCGGTATGCAAATGGTGTCTATTGTTACGCCTACACAGAAACCGAAAAGTCCCTAATAAAAGTAAATGTATAAGAGTACAGTGTGGTACGAAAGTGGAGAGCTAAGATAGATATTTGATTTTACAAAATTTGACTTAAAATGTTATCCAAGATAATCCTATAACAAGAATTTATGAATAGAAGTCTCCCGATTAACAAAATAACCCTTCACAGACACTCTTAGTGTTTCGAAACGCACTGTCTGAATATATTTAAATGTTTTTAAGTTTCGGGGAGAACTTGTTGACGTATGTGACGTAGGTTCCGCCGAACAACAAATCAAGAAACAAAAGAGTTGGACAAATTATGATCTTATACTGCAAGCATTGGGAAAGGCCTAGAGTGGAGGCCCAACAAAAGCTTTTAAGACTCGCAATTAGAAATTCCACTCTGCAACTTATTAAGGCTTTTACAACCTTTGGCTAAAATATGCAAATAATCTAATAAATAAAATAGAAATATCAGCAAAAGGTCAAAATACAAACTGAATGAACAGCGATTTTTGTGAATGGACGTAAAGAAAATCAAGTTATTGGAAAGACCCACCTAGAAGAGCCAAGAATTTGCATTGAATTTGCATTAATTCTTCGATAGTCTCAATCTTATTTATAATATAAACATATATAATCTTAGCCCAGCCCTAAGACATTCATTTGTCAGTTCGTATTAAGGCATCTAAGGTATATCAAGCTGCCTTAATCAGCGTCCCTAATTTGTGGATAAACAATTATAAATTATGAAAATTATGCGGCTAATCCAATCTGCTTAGACGACCACCCCAGAGACCAGATGCGAATCGAAAAAACCGAAAAACCATTCCGCATCCACACCTCAGGTGGCGATAGACTAGCGTAGGTCTCATTAATATTAATATGGTTAGCCGTTCGGCCAAACCTAGTATCTATGTATCTTAGCGAGGCCTAAGGCTTGTTTAAGGTTTCTATTTGGCTTTGAAGATAAATTGCCTTTATTTATATTAGTAAATATATAATCTTTAACACCATTAATTTAGTTGCGCGTATTAATTGCTGTTGATTTCGCTTGTCAAATCACATTCTGTCTTTATCTTAGCCGTCTGCCGTCTGGGCCTTATTAATTTTTCGTCTTATTTGTATTTACATTTCAAGTTTTTCAAGTTGTTTTTCTTCTTGCCGGTTTTCTTTGCTCTCGGCTGTGGGTTCTTTGTTATTGCCTTCTTTTTGACAGCAAAAGCGTGCTCTTGTGTAGACACATTCGTGTTGGCTGGCTTTTTGTTTCTTGGTTTTTGATTAATTTACTTTTGGCCGCGAACAGAAGCCGCATCGATTTGGTTTCTTTTCGAGGTATTAATTTATTAAAATGTTAATTAATTTGTCAGGCGTCGACAGGCATCGAATTTGCCTGATAAATGGCCCAGAAACGAGTTCGAACTGGGACGAGGGAAATCTATACACTTCTTCCAAAATCAAAATGTCTGTGAAATTCTTGTGATTTAATACAAAAATATTCTCATTAAGTTTCATACTAAGAATATGTCCGACACGGAAGAAAATGAGGAAGCAGATCGGATGGACGGTTCTACCGGGGCAATGCCGGGGACTATCTTCAGCGCAATCTCAATTCTGCGACCGATCACCACTTCCCGTCCTGATCTCTCGAATGCTCCCTCGATTGTCATCTCTTTGCCCGATAGCCAAAGAGGGTCCATTCCCGAGGAGACACCGGAGCAGCGTCTGCGGCGCCGGATGAGATTCTTGGAGTTGCGGCGGGAACATTACAATCACTTGCATCACAGTGAGCAGTGCAACATGACGTCCACGGATGATGAAGATCACTCCCCGAATCCACCGAAAAGTCTGGCGGAGAACAAGCCCAAGTAGGAACTAAAAAACTGCATCTATATATTCTTAAATTTTATAAAGTTCCTAAAGCTGCGTCAAACGTTGTTACTTCGTACCTACTATCCACCCATACCTAAGCTGAATCATTTCTAAACGGATCACAAAGGTCAGGGTTATGTCACGAGTCTGTGAATCAGCGACCAACATACCATGGGGAACACTCACCTGGCAAATGAGCTGACGGTGAGTTCGCCGTTGTGGCTGCTGCTGTTGCTCCCTGGACTGAGCCGCTCCCTTTTGACGTTGTGGCCCAGATGCGGGTTGTTGTTGTTGTTGTTGTTGTGGCTGACTCGATTGATGGTTGCTAATGCTGCTGCTACTGTTGCTGTTGTTGTTGTTGATAGTGTTGTTGTTGTTGTTATTGTGTATGGTGACCATAGGAGCATCCTTATGATTCTCCATCTTCTCATGCTTGACCTTCTCCAGGAACAGAGCGGCGTAAGCCGCAGCAGCCACCGATGCCGAATTTGCATTGGTATTGGTGGTGCACGTTGTGGCGGAGGACGATGAGAGCGAGGAGGATGAGGAAGAGGCTGGTGCACCCAGATGGGTGGTTGTAGGCGTGGCGGCCTGACTAACCGCACCACCAGTACCTGTGGCCGCTTCACTCAGCTTCTTGGCACTGCTCTCGATGGCCCCATAACCGCTGAGCAGCAGCGATCGTTCGCTTAGCATTTTGGCCGTTTCCGCAACAGCGTTGGGGAATCTACTGGGGCTAACCGAGCGGCTCCTCCTGGCCTTCTGACCCAGCTGACGCAGATCACTGGCCAGCCGCTCGAGATGCTTCCGCTTGTTGGCTGTCGTAGCGGTCGTCGCCGCTTGCTGGTCCTCGTGGGTCGCCGGTTGGGCTGCACTGCGACCGCCCACAATGGCGGTGGTGGCCTTGGCTGGCTTCTGCTGCAGTATGTCGGTGGGTGCGTTACCTGGAAGTGGACAAAGAAGAGGGTAAGTTATTTTTGGAATGCTAATTTGTATCAAAATTAAATGTAAATCAGTTTTATTCTGATAAATCCCATCATAAGGTAATTTGATTTTGAATATCTTAAGTATATTACATAAGAAACCCCTTAAGCACACCTAGGAACACACTCGCAATGACACGCACCCATAGACTGAGCCCAAATACAATGTGGTGTAAAAAGCTCGAGGCTTGCGTCGCATGCAAATCGGCCAAAGGTTAAAATAACTTATAATATGTTAACAAAACCATTGACCTGCATCGTTGAACCCTTAAGCTAATTATCGGGGTGAGCCAGGGGGCGCGAAGTGCACATCAGCACTGCGTACAGTACGACAGAGTGCGATTTCGAGCTGTTACAGGGCCCCGGAAAACAACAACAACAACAACAAAAATCATTAAACAAACAAACAAACAGCAGCAAACCCAGACAGTCGCAGCAACAAAAGTCCATTCAAATGGGAAGTTAGGTGGCAGCCACAATAGTACGCATTCTAGTCAATGATAAGGGGCAGGTTTTTAGGGGTTAAATGAGAGGATTTCTGAAAGAAGAGTTGCTAGTTAGAGTTTATTTACTGATATTAACTAGGGAGTACTTGTTTTAGATATTAAGTTTAAGAAGAAGATAGCTTATAGTACGTATTACCAAAATCGGAACGTGACAGAGGTTCTTCTTTTGCTCTTCTGTATAGTTTTTATAGTCATAAATATCTAACTTCCGGGTGGGTTATATAAACTCAAATAGAGATAATATTGTTTACAAAAACTCACCCAAACCGACAATGTAATCACAGCAAAATCCAATATTATTATAGTTCAACTTTTATTGAAAATTCCCTTAACACTCCTTCAGTTAAACTTAAAAAAGTTAACAATCTGAGCCCCCGAAAAACAGCTAACTCTATATACGATTTATATATATATATAAAACACAAACACCAATCAAGATATCCAAAGACAATATATATTTTCAACTTTTATGATGTGGTTTCAACTTCTCTCCCTCCCAGGGCAGAGCAAACAAATTGTTTATTTACCTCCAGCTATTTATTCCCAATTTTGTGATCGTCAAAAGTTGATTATTTACTCTGCTTCGAACATAAATAATTTAATTGTAATTTAAATGGCGAAAATGAAAAAGCAAATACGTGTATAAATGCGTGCACAAGCATTGACCTTTAACTGCTGGAAGCTATCCATCCATTCAAACCCCCCCTAACAGTCAGTAGGTGTAAATTGATGGAAGCCACACCAGTCACCTGGCCATACCCATACTCATGCCCATGCCCATGTCCAGACTTGGAGCCACAGCCATTCGCTGGCATGTTTGTCAGCCAAAGCACACAGCATAAATAATTAAATGAAATATTTACAAGCGGAATTAACAACAATTTGTAGTTTTAAGCTCGTTACGATACCCACTATCTGAACCTAAATCAAAACAGAACCTGAATCTTGCCTAGAAATTGCATTGGTTTTTTCTCTGTTTTCTCTGTAGAACGAAAGCTTCCCTGCCGCTTGGCTTGATATCAAATTTCAGCCTTCGTTTTCAAGTCCAAAATATGCCTATATATATGCCGTTTAATAATTTCTCCGTTGTGCGTTATCATAAAATTAAGTTTATCATTGGTTAGCATAGAAATTAAGTTGAGCGTCTATATAGCAAAAATATATACAAAAGCCAGGCTAAAGTGGTTAGGCAGTGAGAGGCTTAGTCCAGTTTTAGATTCTGGGAATATTTTTACGAATATTAATACTTTTTTTTTGTATCAAATTTTCTTTTCTTTGCAGATATTTTTATAGGAATTTTTTTATAACCCTCTGCTCAAAGATAATCAGGAAGAAATACAGAATACAGCCTAAAAAACCCTTTCCTTTTATCTGTAAATTTAATTTCTGCGAATTTCTACTTTACCCCCATTTCATGCCACCTTCGTCCCACTGTGCACCCGATCGTTGGTCCGCTTCGTGCGGTCAGTTGGCTCCCCAAAGACCTCTGATTGGCATCGCTTGGTGCCAATGGTGCTAAGTGCCGAATGTCGAATGGTGAAGATCATAATGACGACTATGACGATGATGATGATGATGATGGAAGGCGGACCTGATAGGGCAACACGAGCTGGAGAGAGATAGGGGGTAGAAACCTCGACCCAACATGTGCCATGCGCGACACTGTTGACTTTTTCCAGTTGGACGTTATGGCTTTTTTTGTCCTCTTTCTTTTTTTTTTTGCCCCACTACTCAGGTAGTGTAAGTATCTGAGTATCTGTGAACGATCCGCACGGTGACAGGCCGCATTTCGGTCGCCGTTGGGTCGACAAGTGTCAATAGTACTAATAGACGAAGCCGCCGACATCGAAAACTTAGGACCGAGCACGTTCGCACCATAGAAAGTGGCGGAGCGCGGGTGCACAAAGTTCTCGAAGCGGTAAAGTTCATTGCCATTGGGTGCGATATGTGCTATATGTGTGACTTCAAGTACAAGTACTATATATATGTAGAAGAATTCTGGCAAACACAGCTGCCGACCTGTCATGTGACCATTTTTCATTTTTCATACTTCACCAGCAAATAACAAGTACGAGCTAGCTATGCAATATTTTTCATAATAATTACAATTGCGATAGATTCCTGACCCAAACAGCTGTCGTTGAAGGGTCACATACACGAGTGTCTAGACCTTGGGGTAAAAATCCCAAAATATATATATATAAAGGAGAAACCTCTAACCTCTGACGCAAGCAATCACCGATAGTTGATTTCGACCCTCGAATTTAACTTTCATGACAGGGCAGCGTGTGGTGGGTCCAATTGGGCAGAGCGGCTTATCAGCCGATTTTTATTATTATTTCTTTTGACCTCATTTGAAAACCAAATAAGCGCCGGCCCCAGCTGTCTTCCCCCTTGCCCTTTGTATGCAAACTCTGCTCTCCGTTGTTATCACATTCCCTGCCCCAAAAGAGCGACAGAGTTCAACCTTTGTTCCCAAATATGGTTCCGTAAGAGGAGTAAACATATATACGGGTATCAGTAAGTCAAGAAGGTAATGCTGATAAATAGGGTCTCTGGCTCTGGGGTTTGGGTTTTCGTATCAGGGCAAACGGGAATTGGGAGCGATTCGGGCTATCTACGGGCAGAAGGCCCTGAACCGATTTCGATTTGGCCTCTTCAATGGCTGACTCTTTTATTTCCCCTCTGTTTGTTTTTAATTCTATTTTGTATATTTGCAAGTTGTAGTTTGCGATTGGTTTATTGTGGAACTTTTTGACCCCTCAAACTGCTTTTGTAATAAAATAAAAGAATTCTTAGAAAGTTCAAAAGTCCAAATCTGAAACAAAAACAATTAATCGAGAAATGGCTGGCTTATCTTTAGGGTCTTTCCCAAACCTTGTGACGTTATAATTCCCAAATGGATTACAAAACTGCTCAAGTGGAAGCCAAAATCGATCAAAAATAAAAGTAATCATAGAGATTTGCTTCCAATCTACAGTTTAGTTTTGAATTTTCACCGATATTTACTGTTTGCTCTGAAAACTTAACCTTAGTTTCTATTCGCTAGCTGACTCTCTTTTTTTTGTCACATTTCTTATAGATAAACATTTATGGTGGCCTATCAGTATCTCTATCTGTATCTGTATCTGTATCTGCATCGCTCCATTCCGCTTCAGTTTCAGCTCGAGTTCAGACAGTTTCAGTTTCCTTTTTACGTGATTTCTTGTATCTCAAGTGTTGTGCTCTGGTCGCGGGGTCTTATCGCCTTGTTTGTCCAAGTGCCAGTTGAACTATATATGTATGTTCATAATGACGATGATGATGATGATGATGATATATGTATTCCTATATAGGGGGCTTAGTACTCGTATATGGCCTTCTCATGGTTCACCATGTTTTCGGCAGAGCGTGTGTGGATCTAACCTACCTACCGCCATACCCTCCCCTCCCAACGTGCTCTCCTTTCTTGGTCTCAATTCTTTGGGTCGCTTTTTGTGGTTTTTGAGAATCATGTCGCATTTATTAGATCATCAAAAGGTGTTAAAGATTGTGGGGCACGTTTCACTGATAATACTCGGCCTGGCCTTTCGCATGGCTTTCTAGAGCGCTCGTTCAATTGTTGTTTGCATTATTGGGTGAAAGTCATTCAGAGTTCATTAGAGATCTCTCATCTAACTGTTCGCTCTGGACTTGCCCGAAATTTACGCAGCTCTTTGTCATATCTGTTGGACAAATTCACGTTATCTTTATGGCTGAGGGTTAGCAATCTCGCGGGGAAATTGCAATTTGCCACAACAATGGCGTGTGGAAATTAACTGGAATTCCAAATGAAAAGCAAAATGTCGAATTTTGTTCAGATTGCGGAACTTCCCAAGGTTCAGTGGCACTCAAGTCTAAAGGTTATAAACTCCAAAGGATCTCATAAATCTTTCATAAACCAGAGATAGTCTTTTACTCCCCAATTTCCACAAACTTGCCACTATTAATTGATTAACCAGTCAGCAGCGGCGAATCGCATCGAAGTGACAGACCTAGAAACGGCTTAAGGAAAATCCAATAATAAAATACAGAGAGAAAGAGATAGCGAAGTGGAACGGACGCCATTGGACAACCGCAAAAAGTAAAGCGCTCTAACGGTTCATGACACTGTTCCCCACAGGTCCACGGCAAATTGAAATTTCAAATCAAATCAGAGCAGCGACGGAGAGCAAGACGGAAATGGCAAATGATTTTCTTCTTCCAACATTCTGCGACTCCATAACGGACAGCTGGTCCGTAGTAGTAGAAAAAAATAAAAAGCTGCCAAGAACCAAAGGAAAAATTTCATAAATTATTAACACCTCTGCCATTTGAACTGGACAAACTGGTACCCAATCTCTGTGTGTGAGTGCAAGACGCGCCTCTCTTTGCGCTTCTCATTGAGGTGAGCTGCTGCCTGGCCCATGTCTTCGGACTGCATAATTGCTTTAATGG